AACATTAAGAAACGATTTTATGGTTAAGACTTCAAAAGCACAGGCAATGAAAACAGAAATAGACAAATGGGTTTATATCAAACTACAAAACTTCTGTGCAGCAAAGGAAACAATCAACAGAGTGAAGATACAACCTGAAGAATGGAAGAAAATACTTGTAAAATGTTCATCCAAAAAGGAATTAACATTGAAAATATACAAGTAATTCAAACACCTCAACAGCAAAACATCAAAGAATCCCATTAAAAAGTGATTAAAAGATGTGAAGACATCTCTCAGAAGAAGGTATATAAATGGCCAACAGGTACATGAAAAATGCTCATCATCAAATGCATATCAAAACCAAAATGAGATGATATCTCACCCTACTTAGAATGGCTATTACCAAAAAGACAAAAAATAAATTGGCAAGATGCAGAGAAAAGGGAATGTAAACACTATAGCCATTATGAAAAAAAGTATGGCGGTTTGTCCAAAAGTTAAAAATAGGATAACATACAATCCAGCAATCCCACTACTGGATATTTATCCAAAGGGGGAAAAAATCAGTATATCAAAGTGATACCTGCACTCTCATGTTTATTGCAGCACTAGCCACAATAGCCAAGATATGGAATCAACCTAAGTGTCCATCAACAGATGTCTTAATAAAGAAAATGTGGTATATATCCACAGTGGAATCATCTTCAGCCATAAAATCAATGATATTCTATTATTTCCAGCAACATGGATGGAACTGGAAGTCATTAAATAAAAGAAGCCTGGCACAGAAAGACAAATATCACATGTTCTCACTCATACCTGGGAGCCACAAAATTTAATCTCATATGGTAAAGAGTAGAATGAGGGTTACCAGAGGCTAGGAAGAGTCAAGGAAGAGGCTGAAGAAAGGTTGATTACTGGGTACAAATATATAGTTAGATAGAAATAATAAGTTTTCATGTTCAACAGCACTGTAGAATAACTATGTTAACCATGCTTTATTGTTATTCCAAAACAGCTAAAAGAGAGGACTTGAAATGTTCCCAACACAAAGAAATGATAAATGTTTGAGATAATGAATAATATCCTAAATGCCTTGATTTGATCATTACATATTGTATGCATATATCTAAATAATAGATTTATCCCACAAATATGTATAATTTTTGTGTATAAATAAAAAAAGAAAAAATATATAAACTGAATCCACATACATACATACATATGAATAGGACAGATAAGTTAGTTATAGGAAGAAACACAATTTTGTTTTATTATTTAAAAGTAAATTATTTTGACTCACATTAACATTATACAAGATATAAAGCATTTCAACATCTTAAGTAATGCACAAAAGCACCTAAAAAATATAACAGCTATTTGTAATAATATGATAAAAAAAATTAGCACATTTTAAAGAAAATTTCCTTAATCTGATAAGCAAATGTATCTACAAAACACTCACAGCAAATATTATTATGCTTGTTAGGTTTTTCTAAAAAAACCTTCCTGATGTAAGTAAAAAGACAAGAATGCTAACTATCAATAATTGAATTCATCATTGTACTGGCGGTCATAGGGCAGTGAAAATGGACAAGAAAATGTAATAAATGGTATAAGAATTAAAACGAAATGAATGGAACTTTCACATTTAAAGTATACATAAGAATATACACAGACAATCCAAAAGTATCTATAGATAAAGCATTAAATTTAGTAAGTAAATTTAGCACAAATTTTGTTAGCAAGGTAGAAATTTTTTTTTTTAATATGCAATACACCTCCTCTTATCCATTGTTTTGTTTTATAGAGTTTCAGTTACCCAAGGTCAACTTCAGTGTAAAAATAGAAAACTCAATAAATAAACAATTTATAAGGGTTTTTTTTGTTTGTTTTTTTTTGTGGGGTTTTTTTGAGTCACATTCTCACTCTGTTGCCTGGGCTAGAGTGCCGTGGCGTCAACCTAGCTCACAGCAACCTCAAACTCCTGGGCTCAAGCGATCCTACTGCCCAAATAGCTTCCCAAATAGCTAGGGCTACAGTCATGTGCCACCATGCCCAGCTAATTTTTTTCTATGTATTTTTAGTTGGCCTATTAATTTCTTTCTATTTTTAGTAGAGACGGGGTCTCGCTCTTTCTCACGCTGGTTTTGAACTCCTGACCTTGAGCGATCCGCCCGCCTCGGCCTCCCAGAGTGCTAGGATTACAGGCTTGAACCACCGCGCCAGGCCTATTTATAAGTTTTAAATTGTGCATTCTTCTGAGTAGCATGACGAAATCTCATTACAGTCCACTTCGTCCTGACTGAGATGTGGATCGCACCTCGGTCCAGCCTATCCACTCTGAAGTCACAATGTTAAAAAAAAAAAAAGGTTAACAAATAAATAGAGATGGGGAAGATCACACAGAGAGGGTTCTCATGCTAGTATGCCTAATAACAAAAGCTGTCAAAAAAGACTCTGCAAAACCCAAGACCTTTCACAAAGGCCATCGCAATCTTACATAAAAAATACTTCTGCAGAAATAACTGCACAGGAACTGTAGGCCCAAACTCTGACTGGCATCACCCTTGTTATTAATATTTGTAACCATGGATAATTATTTCAAAACAATTTTACAGTCCTCATTTTTTTCTCTTAATATTTGTTTTCATCTCCCCGAATATGCACATATAGATTACTACAGCACCTGTATTTCCATTTTGATGCTCTATTCACAAACAAATATGTTTTTCTTCTAGAGAGCCTCTCTTTCTGTTTGTGATTTAGGTTGACATTCTGCACATATTAGGAACAAATTTACTGACATTCTGTTAAAACTGAAACCAAGGTGCCTCCATCTATCTTCCTTCCCTCGGGCACAACACAGTTTCTAACATGGTCTTTTGCAACACTAAATACTCTCTTCTGGTGATGTAATTTTCACTGAATTACTGTTGTCATATTTTAAGAATAAGTTGTTTAAAATATGGTGAGTGTGGGCCACTGTTAAGATAGTCTTTTGTGCCCTGATAACTCTTTTGTATTATTTTTAAAAGTGAGGAACATTTGATATTTAGTTTATATTAACATTTGATATTTAGTTTATTCAACTAAATATCTAACTTTGGAGGTCTTACAAAAACTCACTCACTTTAATGGAAAATAACGCAGGTTGCCTACCAGCCTTCCCTGAATTCTGTATTGGATATTCTACGCAAAATAGAAGGCTTATGAAGGAAAAAAAATAACATTCATGTCAATGACAGCTAATGTTAAGTCTCTGCTCTTATCTATGGCGATACTCAAAAAGTGGATTAGATTCTGGAGTCTGGGAATATTGCTAAGAGACACATACTTTGAAATACCTATTCTGGACTTTCCAATTAGTAATAATTTCAGATGAGGGCTGCTCTTATTAATATTGTGAACCATTTATTTCCAGGAACAGAGAGTGCCACATGACTCATTTTTCATTTTCTTATCTACACAATAGGATCGGTCGCCACCACATTTCTGCATGATATGTAGATATATGCAAATTTGTAATTTTTTCCTAATTGGAGAAAATTCAAAAATCATCATTAAACCAAAGCATTTGTTAAAGTCTAAATTTTTCAGTCTGTGGATTCTAAACATATTGTCAAAACATGTGAAGGGTATACAAAGAGAAGATAGGAAACAACATTTTAGAATAGACATCTCTGAAATATTGGTGTAAAAAAACAAAACCCTCCTTGTTCCCTTATTAATGCCTTATGTGGTGATAGGAAGAAATAACAGTAGACGGAGCTTGTGAAATATTGCAATGGCTCTATTGCTTATAGAAACTAATCCAAAGGATTATCTTCAAACTAGGCCAGAAGCACATATAGCACAGCTCCTAGAGTTCTGCTTGACTTATGAACATTTGTTAATTGAAATTCCAAAGGTCAAGAGCTACTGAAAACAATGTCATATACCAATAGCAAATGACACTTGCCCTTCAATAATTGCTATGTTATAAGATAATTTTGTGTGGCTTACAAGTGGCAGTATTTATGAAATTTGATTTTGGGATTTAGGTCTGTAGTTCTGTAGTACACATGGCACTTTAAATAATTACCTTCATGTAAGTGAATATCAACACACCCATACACACACACATACACACACACACACAGAGCCAGATTAGAATGTAGGGTAAGGGACATCAGGAAAGGAGAGTGAGATAAGAAAGAGGGACACTGAGAACATTAGGAAGGGGTAATGACAGAGGGCCATAGAGTCAAGGCAGCAGGGAGGGAAGAAGGCTGACTTGGGCAGATGAACCAAAACACTCCTAAGTAACAGCAGACTGGAATCTAAGTGATTGTTTAATATCCTCTTCTCATTGTGTGGAAATAAAAGCTAAGGAAGGTGAAATGACCTTTCAGAATCACATGGGGGCTTTTCCAAGGTGGTCTGAAGGAAGATGAGGACACAGACAGCAGCTGGAGGTCAAGTAAGAAGAAGTCTATAAGTCAGAGCTGGTGGGGCACAAGAGGCAGGGTGTAAAACTCAAGCCCATGGGGCGCACATGTCTTCTCTGAACTGCAATTTGCATGAGGAAGAGATTTGTCAGTTGGAAGAGAGGAAGTCACTACAAGCTACTGAGAAAAACGTCTGCTGAAATCGGAAATCAAACACAAGCTCTGCCAGTCACAAGCTCCATCTCCCAGTGAAATGCTGCTTCTGCCATTTCAATTGTTCGCAGTTGTATTCCCAAGCGGTGACAGTGAGGACGGTAAGAGTCACTCTGGCAGCTGACAGCACTGGTGCAGGGGTCATGGGTAAAAGCATGCTGCACTCACCCAGCTGCACTTGGGCGTGAAGGGTCTGAGCCCTGCTGTCTCCAGCCCTCTTCTGCATTTCTGGATGTTGGGGCTGGAGCCTGAGTCTCTGGGGAAGTCAAATGTATCAGGCTATATTTGTTCTTCAGACTCTAGGTTCTTGTTCTCCAGATCGCTTCCATTTCCATTCTCTCTCACTTCCTCCTGCTTCTCCTTTTTTCTTCACAGTCTTGTTCTACTTTTCACAGCCTTCCAGGGACCAACCTCTTTCCATATCATCCAGATCTCGACCTTTGCCAACAGCACCTGGGCACACACTCAAGCTTCAGGCTGGTTGGATGATTTGCAGATTCATGGCTGGAACAGTGACTCGGGCACTGCAATACACCTGAAGCCCTGGTCCAAGGGCAACTTCAGTGACAAGCAGTTTGCTGAGCTGGAGGAGATATTCAGAGTCTACTTCTTTGCATTTACTCAAACAATACAGTGGCATGCCAGTAAATTCCAGCTGCAATGTGAGTACAGTTCCCTGAACTGGGAAGATTCCCAAAGACCTTCTCTCTCTGTTTGCAAGCTGCTAATTGCTCTGATCCTTTTCTCCTTTCCATTTTACCCAACTTCATGAAGACAGTCTTCTAGAGCAATCTCTCACTGACTCTACACCTCCACATCGTATTCCAGATTCTGACTCTTTCTGACTCTTCTCTGAGAGATTAGGGCCTTCCTGGTATCCATCTCCTGCTTTGTCTTATGTGGACCTTGCTCCTCAAGGACCCTTAGTTCTACCCTGTGCCTGAGTGACCTACAGTGTGGCTTCCTCCTCTGATCCTTCTGTTTAGTGCTCTCCTCCTTGTACCTCCTCTTGCTGTGGTCCTCTGGCTCACGCCAAACTGCTGTGCCCTGGACTGCATCACTCTCTGCCTCCCTTCTGCCCCACTTCTACCATACCTCCCATTCATGACACTCACACCTTTGCCAATGCTCCTCTTACTGAAAATCTCTAAATGCTGTAATTGGGGTTTGGCTTATCATTTCACATCCAAGAATTTAACCTCGCCAAATCTAAAATTCTAGGTCCTTTTCTCATGCCTTTCTTTCCTATTTATGTTTAATAAGTTGTTCTTTGTTTCCCTTTGACCTAGATCCCTTTGAAATCCAAGGCATAGCAGGCTGTGAGCTACATTCTGGTGCTTCCATTGTAAGCTTCTTGAGGGGAGCTTTAGGAGGATTGGATTTCCTGAGCTTTGAGAATGATATGTGTGTGCCCTGCCCAGAGGGCGGCAGAAGGGCACAGCAATTCTGCAGAAGCATCATGAAATATCAATATGTCATTAATCCTGTGAAGAAGCTCCTCTATGACATCTGCCCCAGATATCTCCTGGGTGTCCTCAATGCAGGGAAGGCAGAGTTGCAAAGGCAAGGTTAGTCTTGCTCTCTGTTTCACTTCCCACTACTTCCCCTAAACTCAAGACAAGGAAAGTACTCAAGAGGGCACGGGTTTAATCTACAAGATATTTGGATCCCAAAGCACTGGAAGGGGTCACTGTCCATGCTGGTGGGCTTCTGAGTCCCTGTGATCTGAATTTGAGTCATGACACGACACTCTCACTGCTCCTCCCTGCCCCAGTGAAGCCCGAGGCCTGGCTGTCCAGTGGCCCCAGTCCCGGGCCTGGCCGTCTGCTGCTGATGTGCCATGTCTCAGGATTCTACCCAAAGCCCGTGTGGGTGAGGTGGATGCGGGGAGAGCAGGAGCAGCCGGGCACGCAGCACAGTGACCTCCTGCCCAATGCTGACTGGACGTGGTATCTCCGAGCGACCCTGGATGTGGCGGCTGGGGAGGTGGCTGGCCTGTCCTGCCGGGTGAAGCACAGCAGTCTAGAAGGCCAGGACATCATCCTCCTCTGGGGTGAGAAAGGGCTGGGCCTGGCTGGACGTGGGAGGAGGTGGTCCTCAGGCAGAGAGGCAGGCACTGGGGAAGGATGGGGCTTCACAGATGAAAGAGGGAGAGGGGTATATTGATTTATTTCTGGGACACCAATCACAACAGGAATAAAAATGGAGGAGCCAAGTTATAGGGAAGATAGGAATGAAGGACAAGCAGATTGTGTCAGTTGGGGTCCAAGGGATCAAAGGATGGATCAATGGTGTGAAGAATATGAGAGAGGGAGTTTGAGATGAGCACACAGTGGAAGCAGCTGAATGGAAGCGCTGACACTCAGGTGGGGAAAGGATGGCCAGATAATTCAGTGGGTGGGATTCGAAGTGACATCCTTTTGTCATCTCCCAATTGCCAGGACACCCTATCTCCATTGGCTTGATCTTTTTGGCAATAATTGTGCCCTCCTTGATCCTCTTGCTGTTCCTTGCATTATGGTATATCAGGCGCCGGTGAGTTGTTTTTTGTTTTTTAATCCTTCTTTTCTGTTCACCTCCCGACTGTTTTCCATCAGGTTAACTTTTTCATTGCTTTAGCCTCCAGACCCTTTCCCTAACTCCCATCTCCTTTATGTAGAGATATATTTTTAATCCAGTTAAAATGCACATAACAAAATTTGCCATCTTTACCACATTTAAGTGTACAGTTCAGTGGTGGTAAGTGCAATCACACTGACATGCCAGCAATCTCCAGAAGTTTTTCATCCCTCAAACCTGAAACTCTTTTCCTGTTAAACAGCAATTTCCCTTTTCCCCTTCCCTTGGCCCTGGCTGCAATTATTCTACTTTCTATATCCATGAGTTTGACAACTCTAGGTCCCTCATATAAGTGGAATCATACCATAATTCTCTTTTTGTGACTGGTTTATTTCACGTGGCATAAGACCTTAAGGTTCATCGATTTTGTGGCATGTGACAGGGTTTCCTTCCCTTTTAGGCCTGAATAATATTCCATTGTAGATATGTGACAAATTTAGTTCATCCGTTCATCCATCTGTGGACAGTTGCCTTGGTTCTACCTTTAGCTATTGTGGAAAAAAGTTGCTATGAACATAGGTGTGCAAATACCTCTTACATAGATTTCTTTTCTCTTGTGGTTTTAACAGGTCATATCAGGATATCCTTTGAACCCTATCTGTATCTTCTCTCCCGTTTGGAAATAGCACCAAGAAGTTTAGAATTCCAAGATGACAACCCATGAGTTAATCTCATCATATTGCATCAATTGATCATCATATTTTATCAAATCACAGGTTCCATAGATTTTAAGATAAATTATAACTTAAGCACCAGCAAAATAATTATTTAAAACTGTGAATTTATTATAAGACGGTATCAGTAGTATGATCTATGTCTTATATATTAAAATGGACAAAGAACATGTCTCAGGTAAATGAAATTTGGTATATACAATGTAATGGGGACTTCTCTTTGGTTTTCTATTTTAAAACTTCTCTTTTTCTTCTTCTGCTTAAATATCATTTGTCAAAGTAAGCTAAATATAATTATGCTGGGATAATTGTATTGCATAGATACAGGGCATTTTTTATGTAATTTCTCTGTCTCTACCTGGATGACTTTCTAACACCCAAAGCCCAGCTGAGAAGCTTTCTCCTCTAGGAGGCCTTTCCGCGTGCTATAATGGAAGTAACCCTCCCTTGTCTGGTATCACCCAGATATCCACTTTACTCTGCACCCCCTGCATTGCATTTATTTTTGTTTTCTACCTTTTCTAATTTTACCATTAGAAAAGGTAAAGGGCAGTAGAAAAAGTAGAGGGTTCCTTGAGGGCAGTGCTCCTGGTTTGTGCAAGGCCCTTACCTGCAACTGCATTTTCTCAGTAAAAATTATCTGATTTGCTGACTGTCAACTTAATTGCCTTCTTACAGAGTCATCTCTATCCCTGCTTTTTTTTTCTCTTTAGTTGATATTCTAGATCTTCCTCTTGTTATTAAAATATATTCCACTTAGCCAAAAAAATATTATGCTTTTCTTGTTTCTGCTCTGAACTCTTCTGGAGAAAACCACCTTTGTCCTTACTGCAAATACAGTCTAACTTCAAATTGTCATTGGAACGGGCTCCTGCTTCTCATTTGTCCAGTGAGAATGAATGAGAGGCAGGGTAGGTGAGGAGTAATATTTCAGGTGGATTGTGACATTGTGAAGGAAAATAATTTAAGGGGACTGTTTCTGTCCTCAAGGTCCTTGCTTAATACCTGTGCTATATCAATTGAGTTACATTTTTTATTTACCTTTACCTTTATTCATTTTTTGTTCATTGTATAGTTTCCTAGAACAGTCCATCTTAAAACATCCTAATTCATTTTGATTAACATAGTAAGGGGTAGGGGGATTTAAGGAAATATTTTTATAGGACTTAGGAAGGGATCAGGGCAAACAGTTTTGGAGAAGCCAGAGGTGCAAGAAGCAATTCTCCTACCTATAAATTTTAGGACAGTAGAGTCTTTAGAGTTTGAGAAGTGTAAGACATGGTTGAAATCACAGCTATCTCCACCTTTTATTACTACAACTGGCTACTTCATGGAATACATTCAATTGGACACCATCTTATAGAGTAGCCATGCTATTGCCGTATGCTTGTGAACCATGCAATGTGGAACATAGGAAGGTGAGCTATGAACTAGCTGCAGCAATAGCACCTGGAAGCTTGCTAGAAAAACTAATCACCACTCCCCAACCTACTGAATCAGAAAATATGGGAATGGAAATCAGTGATATGTTTTAACAAGGCTTCCAGGTGATTCTGATATATATTCAAGTTTGATAACCCTTGTTCTAATGTTTTCTCAACCTCTGCCCTATTGACATTTCGGGTCAGGTAATTCTTGCTGAGCAAGGCTGTTCTGTGCACTGTAGGATGTTAAGCAGCATCCCTGGCCCCTACCCACTAGATGCCAATAGTATCTGCTCAATTGTGACATCAAATATATCTTCAGACACTGGTAAATGTTCCCCAGGAGCACAAATTGGCCCCAGATAAAAACCAAGATCTAATATAATTATCATAATATCATGCCCCTGTTTAGCCAGATTAACTGGCGTAATTTGTCCTGATGCAACTGAATCTAAGACTTAAGTTTGCTGGTTGAGGAAGGAGGAGTTTCCTATTTGTCTGGCTGGTATGGTGTGTGCAAAGCCCAAAACTGCTATAGAATATTATTCCATAGGAAAAGCTGGGCCAGAAATGAAGCTCACAAATAAGAAAACAGATAAAAAGAGCAAATGATAAGATAACAGGGCCAAAGCCTGAATCAACTATACCTGACACTTGAAACTACCTCTGAATATTTTAGTTACATGAACTAATAAGTTTCACTTTTCCTTTTAAGCCAATTGAGCTTGAATTTTCCGATATTACTTGAAAGTTACTTGAAAATTATGATATTGCTGTGATCACTGATGTCTTGCACCAGCTTTTTCATGTTTTTTTTTATACCTTTCCTCCATTTTCTTTCTCCCCTTATTGTTTCTCTTCCCAAATTATCATTCCTCAACAGTGGTTTTTTTGAACTTATGATTTTCCTTTAAGTGTTCTTATCTTAACTATGACCTCTGCATAAATAACATTCAGAATTATTAATAGATCTTCAACCTCAAATATAAGGGCTCCCAAACTATTTTTGTGTAAGAATGCATGTGCATGTTTACAAGTTCGTATGATTTTTGCCGATACATGAAAATACAGTAGTTTGCCATTTTCCATGGTGGATATGTTCCAACACCCCCAATGCATGCCTGAAACCATAGATAGTAGGAAATTCAATTGCTGTCACTTGGAACATGTTTCAGTTCATGTCTTCCACCCACAAATTTAATGCCTTTCTGTCTTATCTAAGCAGTGATCATAAGCTGTGACCATAATTTTTGCAGTTTGAGATGCAACAGCAAAACAAGCATGAATTCTTTCCTTCTTCACAATTTTGTGAATAGGAGATTCATTCTTACTGAAGATCTTAGCAACATCGGCATAGACATTTTCTCTTTCCTTATTGAGTAAAGAACTTTCAGCTTTTTATATAAACGAAAGACTTTACAGCTTCTCCTTGGCATATTCAAATTACCAGCATCACTTCTGCTTTGGTGCCACTATTAGGCAAAATAAGGGTTATGTGAACACAAGCACTGCCTTACTAGAATGGTTTGTCTGTTAACTGAGCTGCCTACCTTGAAATCATAGGTAACAAATGACTTCTTTTCAAATTTTTAATTAGTAATTTTAAATATGCAAAGATAGAAAGGGTAGTATTCGAAACCACCATTTGCTTATGAGACAGCTTTTAAAAATTCATCTGCTGATGATTGAAATAATTTTCAGATATCATATTCTACTCATAAATGTTTCAACAGGTATTTCTAAAATATAAAAATTATTTTTATATACTATCAAAATTACATTATGATATCAATAAAGACTCCTTAATATCACTAAATATCTAATCAGTACTCAAATTTTTCCCAACTGTCTCATGAAATATTTTTAGAGTTCATTTACTAAATTAGAATAAAAATAAGGCCCATGCATTGAAATTAGTCGGTATGTTTCATACGTCTCTTTTAATCTACCGATTTCTCCCCTATTTTTTATTCTAGAATTAGTTTTTAATGGAATTGAATCATTGTTCTTGTGTAATTGTCCACAGTCTGCATTTTGCTGATCACATAGCTATGTCATTTTACATGAGTTTTATCCTCTTCATTTACTATATATTCATAGATTTGTGATGTGATCAGATTCAATTTTATTATTCTCTGTGTATCTCACAAGGGGTATATAAAATTTGGTGATATCTACTCACTACCTAGATCAATAGGTCTCAACATTTTTATGCATTTTACACATGTAAAAGTTATTGAAGGTTGCACAATACTATGAATGTACCTAATACCACAGAACTGGATATTTCAAATTGGTAAAAATGGTAAATCTTATGTATGTATATTTTACCACAATAAAAAAATAGGAACATCATGAAAACTTTTCTTTATGTAAATTGTATATAAAATGTATGTCTACATAGATAGCTACTTATGTCTTAGAAGTAAAAACTAATAAATTATTAAAATATTTATAAACTTATATAAAATAAAACTTTGATTACATGTCTACAAAAATAAAATCTTTGTTTTCAACTGTTTTCCAAATATTTAGTGAAAAGTGTGGCTTTATAGATCCTTTTTTCACATTTTTGCAATTCTCCTTAATGTCTGGCTTAATGGAAAACAGCTACATTTTTACATCTGCTTTGGCATTCAGTCTGATGCAATATCACATTCCATGTAGTCTCTGAGGAACAATGCACACTTATGAGAGAGGAATAGAATGAAAATTTTAAGTTAGATATTAGTATTGCTCTAGAAATTATTTTCAACTGTGGACCCTCTGAAAGGATGTCAGGGACCTCAAGGTGTTCCTGGGCTATATCTTATGAATAAATGCCCTAAAGGATAAAAAAAAAAAGTATTATACATTCTTCATTTATCTGTTAGACTATTTCTAAAAACAGATATTCTCCTTAATAGCTCCCTCATTACCCAAAGGTAATCAAAGAATTAAAATATTTCATTCTTTCCATTTATTTGCCAGCTTTCAAGACCATGAATGGTTTATATGGCATCTTTCACAGGTGACTAGTAATTTTTTTTTGAATAATTGGATACTCAGGAATTTCAACTTATTTGAAATGCTTGACTTATGTGAACTGTTTTTATTGGAGCTCAAATTGCTCCATCTGGACAGGGAAATCTTTTTCAAGTCAGCTGCTCCTAAATTCTTTCAATATGCCTCCACCACTGAAGACCCCATTATATTGTGATGTGCCAAGGCCGTTCATATTTCTTGCAGAAACATCCCACCCCACACTAGAAATTAGCCAATTCTCCAAGTATTTCTGAACCCTTCTAGTAGGAAAACATGACGTGGAAACAATAATCTAGGTTAGTCCTGGTTTCTAGGCATTCTAAGTAAGAAGCAAACCTAAAAAAATCACCTGTGGTTTTAAAAAAGATAAATGCCCCCATGAGCTCATACTTACACTTTCAGTTCAAGTTCAGAACTGTGAGGTTTTACTCATTTATCTCACTTCTACTTCTCTGTTCTCCCACATAGAAAATCCTGGTTCCCAATGAATCAATGTAAATATGTATTCACCTAATCCCACAGTACACACATGACAATCTTAGAATAAAAATACAAATAGTAGGTCAGAAATATGGCAGAATAGGAGATAACCCACTGACATCCCCCCATAATAGCACACAACAACACAAAAGTTTCTCTCTGGCTACCTCAGGAATCAGGAAGAAAGTAGTAAAACCTCAGTGGAGCGTTAGCCCTAGGAAGACAGTTTCAAGAGTGTAGACCAGCACCAGGGTAGCAGACTCACCAGTGATGATCTTGGGCTCAAACCTGGAAGCAGACCCATTACCCAAAAAGCTTGGCTAAAGCCCAATTTGGTACTTATATTGGAACCAAAACCTACTGCCAAGGGGTCCACAAGGAATCATGAGTACTAGAGACTCAGCAGAAAGATTATCTGTGCACCAACAAGGATCTTGGCAGTGGATCTCAAAGGTACCCTAAAACTTGTCTTTAGCCTCATGCTCTCCCCCTACCTGTGGTCCCAACTGCTCACAAAAGGACCCAGAGGGAAACTTGTCCATATCTTACAGCCTGGGAATTTCCCATACTTCTGAACTTCTTTGATGGGCCAACCAGTAATTGACCCACAGCAGATCCTGAGGGGATGCAGTCTCAGCTTCAGCCCCTCTCACTGAAGTTGGGGAGGGAGGTCTCCTGCTCATGTGGGGAAATGCTGGGGCTGTGCATCCACTTGAGCTGCCAAGTAGCACTGCTGGTGTCCATCCTACAATGGATCCTGAGTGGGCACAGTCTCAGGTCTAGCCTCTCTCACTACGGTTAGGGAACTCCCTAGGAGTTATAGGAAACTGCTAGAAGCATACATGTCTGGGCCACTAGAGTGAACCTATCAACAGCTGTCATACAGAGGGTCCTAAATGGGCACAGAATTCAGGACCAGCCCCACTGAGTGCAATTGGGGGATGGTCCCAAATATGCCGAGATCTGACAGAAAACATGCACCGGTCTATATCAATGGGACAAGCTTCCAGTCTCAGGTCCCTGGTCAGCTTTCTGACAAAGCCTGGGTACCCACCTTTGGTCTTCAAAGGCCCACACATCCCATCCTGGGGCTCCATGACAACCTTGCAGCCCTCATGAGACTCACAACAAACCTGAACTTAGCCATCTAATCTTTGACAAAGCACACAAAAACATACCCTGGGAAAAAGAATCTTTATTCAATAAACAATGCTGGGAAAACTGGATACCCACATGTAGAAGACTGAAACAGGATGTGCGCCTTTAATCTCTCACAAAAATTAACTCACTGTGAATAATAGACTTAAAACTAAGTCATGAACCTATAAGAATTCTAGAAGAAAATGTTGAAACAACCCTTATAGACATCGGCCTAGGCAAAGAATTTATGAGGAAGACCCCAAAGGCAATCACAGCAACAATAAAAATAAATAAATGGGACCTAATCAAATTAAATGCCTTCTGCACAACCAAGGAAACTATCATGAGAGCAAACAAACAACCTACAGAATGGGAGAACATATTTGCATGTTACATATCCAATAAAGGGCTGATAACTAGAATCTATATAGAACTCAGGAAAATCAGCAAGAAAAAAATCAAACAACCCTATCAAAAAGTGGGCAAAGGACTTTTCAAAAGAAGATAGACTAATGGCCAATAAACATATGAAAAAAATGCTCAACATCTCTAATCATCAGGAAAATGCAAATCAGAACCACAATGAGATATCACTTATCTCCAGTGAGAATGCCCTTTATCAAAAAGTCACAAAACAATAAATGTTGGATAAATGTGGAGAGTTAGGAACACTCATACACTGTTGGTGGGACTACAAACTACTACAACCTCTGTGGAAAGTAATATGGAGATACCTCAAAGAGGAGATATCTTGAGGTATGGAGATACCTCAAAGAGCTACAAGTAGAACTGTCTTTTGATCCATAATTCCCATTCCTAGGCACCTACCCAAAGGAACAAAAGACATTCTATAAAAAAGACATCTGCACTCGAATGTTTATAGCAGCAAGTTCACAATTGCAAAGCTGTAGGAACAACCCAAGTACCCATCAATGAGTGGATTAATAAAATGTGGTATATGTGTACCATGGAATTCTACTCAGCCACAAAAAACAATGGTAATCTAGCATCTCTTATAACATCCTGGATAGACCTGGAGCCTATTCTACTAAATGAAGAATCACAAGTATGGAAAAACAAGCACCACATGTGCTCACCATCAAATTGGTATTAACTGACTTAACTGACTAACACTTAAGTGCACATATAGTAGTAACAATTATTGGGTGTCAGGTAAATGGGAGGGGGGAGGAGGAGAGGGATATATACACACTTAATGGGTGCATTGCACACAGTCTGGGGGATGGACATGCTTGAAGCTCTGACTTGGGTTGGGCAAAGGCAATATATGTAACCTAAACATTTGTACCTATAATATGCTGAAAAAAAAATTAACAAAAACCATGAGCTTAGGGTTCCCTCTTGCTGAAATGGCTGCAGCAGTCCATGAGCTTAACAGCAGTGACTCTACTTAAATTCCAGACAGGCCAAGTGAAAAAAAATAGGCCAAACTGTGAAGACTGGAATAAATACCTAATTCTTCAATGCACAGACATTAATATATGTCCACAGGCATCAAAAATAATCAGGGAATTATGACTTCACAAAGAGACAACACAAGATACCCACAATGGACCCTAAAGTAATAGAGATATAAGATCTCTCAGACAAGGAATTCCAAACAGCTGTGTTAAAGAAGCTCAGTAAATCTCAGTAAAACACAGAAAAACTATTCAGAAATTTATGAGAGAACTCCAAAAAAGAATTAAAATGATTTTTAAAGTCAAACAGAAATCTGAGAGATAAAAAATACATTAAATGAAATAAAAAATGCAATAGAGAGTATCACCAGCAGACTTGATCAAACAGAAGAAAGAATTAGTGAGATCAAAGATACACTATTTAAAAATACAGAGCCAAATGAGAAAATAATAAAAAGGAATAAAGAAAGCTTACAGGATCTATGATATACCAAACAAAGAGTAAATATTTTGGTTATTGAAGTTCAAGAGGTGGCAGACAAAGACAAAAGGTTAGAAAATTTATTGAAAGATAATAATTACAGAAACTCTCCAAATCTAGAGAAAAATACAAATATCCAAGTAAAAGAAGGTCAAAAGTCACCAATCAGATTCACTCCAAATAGAACTATCCTAAGACATACCCTTTAATTCTCAAAGGTGAAAACAAAGGATCCTGAATGCAGCAAGAGAAAAGAAGCAAATAACATAAGGGAATTTAAAATGGCAGGCCACAGACTTTTCACCAGAAACCATCATGCCAGGAGGAAGTGGGACAATATACTTAAAGTGCTGGGGGTGAAACAAAAATTCCAATCAAGAATACAGTACCTGACACAGCTATCCTTCAGAAATTAAGAAGAGATAA